GTTATAAAGCTGCCAGATGTGTACACCTTAGAAGTGATACCTGCAAGTAAAAACGATATAATGAAGCCAAATTACCTGCGTAATTGGCCATATCTGGATAGAGTTAAGTTGAAACACATTGATGCTGAAATAGGTCTTCTCATTGGAAGCAACGTACCAAAGGCATTAGAGCCGCTTGAAGTGATTAACAGTGTCGGAAAAGGTCCGTATGCCGTTAAGTCAATATTAGGTTGGTCCGTGCATGGAATCACATAAGTTGCGTGTAGTGTTTGATTGTGGCGCCAGGTATGGTGGCAAGTCACTTAATGATGAATTGTTACAGGGACCTGACCTGACTAGTTCTCTTGTTGGGGTATTAATCAGATTCCAAGAAGAACCGGTAGCATTGACAGCAGATATTGAATCCATGTTCTATCAGGTCCGGGTACCAAAAAAGGACTGGGATATGTTGAGGTTTCTATGATGGCCAAATGGCAATGTCGACCAGCCTTTGGAAGAATATAGAATGGCCGTCCACGTTTTCGGAGCGGTATCTTCTCCATCGTGTGTCAACTACGCTTTACGCAAGGCAGCAGAGAATGCTAAAGGGTGGTACCAAAAGGCAGTTTGCGATACCATACGTAGAAACTTTTACGTCGATGATTATCTGGTGTCTGTAGCAACAAATTCTGAAGCAATACTCCATGCGAAGGACACAAGGAATCTTTGTAAAGAAAATGGCTTTAGATTGACCAAGTGGATGAGTAATGAACGAGAGGTGAACGAGTCTATTCCCATCTGTGAAAGAGCCAAAAATGTAAAGGATGTTGACTTGACGATATTACCTACCGAAAGGACGTTGGGTGTTCTTTGGTCGGCTGAATCAGATGAGTTCAGATACAAGATTAATTTGTCATCTAAGCCAACTACTAGAAGAGGGGTGTTATCTACGTTAGGCTCGATATATGATCCCCTAGGTTATGTCTCACCTGCAATTCTCCCAGCAAAACAAATACTTCAGGAACTTTGTCGTAAGAAACTGGGTTGGGATGCACAGATACCTGAGGAAGAATCGAAGAGGTTGTCGAAATGGATGTCGGAAGTCAGTGATCTGGAAATATTCAGGATAAGCAGGTGTTTGAAACCGCATGGATTTGGAAGTCAAATCTTCGCACAGATGCACCATTTCTCGGACGCGAGTGAGCTCGGTTATGGAACGGCATCGTAAATCAGGTTTTTGAACAAAAATGATGATGTTCATTGTCGGCTAATTCTTGTCAAGTCAAGAGTTGCTCCGTTAAAAATTGCTACAATTCCCAGAATGGAACTCACTGCTGCTGCTGTAGCAGTCAGAGTAGATGCCATGTTGCGAAGAGAGCTTCAGATGCCAGTTATTGAGTCACGATTTTGGACGGATAGTACCACGGTGTTGAGTTACATTAAAAGCTGTCTCTTATACACATCTAGATGTGTATAAGAGACAGTGCTAACCGTGTAGACCTTATTAGAGAAGCTTCTGCGCCAAGTCAATGGGGGCACGTAAGGACTGCATGTAATCCCGCAGATGTTTGCTCTAGAGGAACGTCGGTGAAGGCGTTTCTGGACAGCGAAAAATGGATTAAAGGTCCAAAATTCCTGTGGCGGGACGAGAGTAAATGGTATGAAAAAGACATAGGACAGTTTACCTTGAAGAATACTGATCCAGAACTGAAATGCGTCCTGGCTACAGAAGTTAAACCCGTTGATCCCTTAAGCCGAGCAATAGAGCGTTGCTCGTCATGGAGCAAGCTAAAAAGGTCCATTGCCTGGATCATGGTGGGAATGCAAAACTTGCAAATGCGTGTTGTTGTTCGCAAGAGAAGATTACCAGAAGGGCAGAAACAGCATGGAAATCTATCAGTTCAAGATATGAGGAGGGCGGAGGAAGCATTGGTAAGGTTCGTTCAGAAAGAGCATTGGCCAAACGACATTGCTTCACTTCATAAGAAATCATCATCGCTGAGGAGGCTTAATCCGGTCATAAAGAATAAATTATTGTGTGTCGGTGGTAGACTCCAAAGAGAAAATATTTACGTTATGTCTAAACATCAAGTTCTATTACCAAGAAACTCTCATGTATCAAGGTTGATACTTCGAGATATTCACGAGACAAATGGACACCTAGGTAAAAACCATATATTAGCAAAACTGCGACAGCAGTATTGGATTGTAGGTGCACCATCCTTAATAAAGCAGATTACCTCAAAGTGTGTGGTTTGTAGAAGGTACCAGCCAATAGTTGGTCAACAGAAGATGGCAGATTTGCCTATAGAGCGGGTACGTGTGAGGAACCCTCTGTTTCATGACACTGGAATGGACTACTTCGGGCCGTTCGAGGTCAAGCGTGGCCGAACTACTGTGAAAAGATACGGAATGCTGTTTACGTGCATGGCTAGTCGTGCTGTTCACTTAGAAGTCGCACACACTCTCGACACTGCTTCATGTATTAACACAATTAAACGGTTTACTGCACGACGAGGGAACGTGAGTAGTATCAGGTCAGATAATGGAACCAACCTTGTAGGAGCCGAACGTGAACTTAGAGAGTCTTTACATAAATGCAATCAGCAGGGATGCAAATGAAATTAATGAAAAGGGGGATTAACTGGTATTTCAATCCACCTACAGGGTCGCATCATGGTGTGATTTGGGAAAGGATTATTCGAAGCGTAAGAAAGATTTTGTATGGGTTGATGAAGGAACAAAACATCAAGTTGAACGATGAGTCGCTGCAAACACTTTTTTGTGAAGTTGAAGAAATTCTAAACGGGAGGCCACTAACGGAGAGCCCAAATAGTCCCAACGATTTAAATGTGCTGACGCAAAATCATCTGTTACGTTTAAATGCAGAGCCGGTTCTTCCAGCTGGAGTATTTACGAGAGATGATACCTATTCTACTCGACGCTGGAGGCAAATTCAATATCTTGCCGATGTTTTCTGGCGACGTTGGGTCAATTAATACTTTCCGGTGTTGCAGCAAAGACAAAAATGGACACGTCCTAAGCGCAATCTGGTCGTTGGAGATGTTGTATTGGTGATGAATCAAGGTCCACGAAATATGTGGATGCTTGGTCGTGTAACAGAAGTTTATAATGATCATAAAGGGTTCGTTAGGTCTGTTAAAGTGAGGACTGAGAATTCATCATTGATTCGTCCTGTCACTAAACTATGTCTATTGGTTGAGTGTGATAATGCTAATAATTCAGATTCATAAATTCAGATTCATAAATTACAAGTATCGATCTATTACAAGTAAAAAATATGACTTCAATAATGTACGTGGATAAACAACACACTACTGTTTTTAAGGTCAGTTGAATAATAGATGTGAACGTATAAAAGTTGTTTACTGAGTTAATTAAACTTGTTAGTAATTAAAGTACTTAATCTCATAATTTCGATATTAAAATAACATGATTTTGTCGTTTTATTACGTATTTCTCATTGATGTTGAACATGATTCTATCATGTATTGCTATGTTAATAACTATTAATCAGTACAGTAGCAGGAACGGGTGTTGATTGTTTACTGCTTGAACGATGTAATCTACAAGGAAATATGTGTGTATTAGACTATTGAAAGGGTTAGGTTGAACTTTGAAGGATGTTCTTTGAAATCTTTACAGTTTGGTATTGATATATTTCTAAGTAATTGTGTTTATTAGGATGTTTAAGAGTGCGAATGTACAGGCGCTCGTTTGTTATTCATTAGTGCAATTGTACTGCTGTAGAAGTACAATTAGGGGCCGGTATGTTAGCGCCAGAATATGATTTTGTTCTATTTTTGTGCATGTTTTGCTGCCCATAGATTTGTAGCGTGATCGTTTTTGTTAAACCACTTGGGCCAGGGTTGAGAGCTGTTGAAGGTTGTAATTTTCCGGCAATCAGAGTCAGGGACGTATCCAGGGGGGCCGTGGGAGCCGCGGCTCCCCCCCCCCCCTTTGTACACAGTGTTAATATTTTAAAGCTTATTCTTGAGCCAATACAAATTCTTTCCTGGGATCACTTAAAATAAACACTTCTAAACATGTAAATATGCATCAGTACACGTTATACATAGGCCTAATAGAACACATAAGCCTAAGC